AGATTTCAGATAACACTTGAAAGTGAGCAAACTGGGAAAGGAAAAATACTAAAAATGCAAAGCTTCTTGATGTTGTCCATTGAAATACTTGTGAAAATTTCTGTATGTTTATTGTAGAAAAGTTGATGTCATGAACATTCCATAAAAAATCAAGTGTAATAACTTACTAATAACCTTACTTGGATTATTCTTAGGGTTATAAATCCAGCAAAAAAAGAGGATATAAAATACAATCTGTTTGTACAATTAAATGAAAATTAACTGCAAGTAAAGGTTTGTTATAACTAGTTTCTAGAAAGACAAAACAGCACTAATTTTAATAAATGATGGCATCACTCACAAGTTTTTTGTCTCAGAATATCCTATGTTATAATTTCCTTTTCATGTAAAATCTTCTTCATCTTTATTGTGTTAATCTCTTTGGTTTTAAGTCCAAAAAAAATCTAGGGAAGGAGAAATGCTCTCCTATAATTGCTTAAGTATCAAACTAAAACTTGAGTGTTGGTTACTGTACAGGGTCAAATCACTGTTTGCATTACTCCTGTGAATTGCACACTTCTGGATTTAATTAGTATTGGTCTTTCTTCTGTTCCCTCTCTTTCTTATTGAGGGTGCATAACAGATGGTGCAGCTGTTCTAGTGACTAGCAAGTGAATGGGACTGTTTTCTGTTTGTCTATTTGTCACTTACAGAAACAAGATTAAGCTGTCTGGCATATTTATATGACCTACATGGTATAAAAAAGTGTGTAGTTAAACTTTTAACATTGTAAACCCATCATTTACAGGCTACAGTTACATTGTTAGGCTTTGAGTACAGTAACTTAACAGTCCTTGGTTATGTTGTAAAAGATAATGTTGTAAAAAGGAACTTCTGTCTGGTGTTGAATGTAATGGCTTTTAGCAGTGCCTTACATCTGAGCTGTTTGTTTTTTAGGTGGTTTTGGCGTAGCAAAGAACCTGTGTTCCTGGGCTGTAGATGGCAAGAACTGTACTGTCAACGAGCAGGTCAGCTCCACGCTCCAAGCTTTCCACAGTGCTAAAAAGCCCATTGGTTTGTGCTGTATATCACCAGTTCTGGCAGCTAAAGTCTTTCCTGGTTGTGAGGTTACGGTTGGCCAAGATAAAAATGTGGATGGAAGGTAAGAAGGAAATGGATGGAGATGATTTACATGGGAATTAGGATATCAGCAGTGTTCTGTGCAAAAGTTTCTTTATTTATTGTGCAGTGTGAGGGCTAATGAGTCATTGGGTGTAGCATCTGCCAGTCTTAAAAGTGAGAGAACAAGTGGCTTTTACAGGACCATAGCTGTGCAAACGTGCAGGTGACTACGGATATCAAGTTATTTCTTCTCGTTCCATTCATGGCCATTGAGGGATAGATTTTTAGCTCATCCTGAGCAAAATACAGAATTTGCTTACCCGATGCCTTTGAAGGCCTTGATTCATCTTGCAAATGGGCAAATGAAGAACAGGCGTTTGGCCAGCTGGCGTTCAGAAACTTGGTACCCTGTGGTAATTGGAGTGGCTGTTTAAATTGCTTCTGTGGGCTTTTGTCTGCTCATGGATTTTTAATAAAGTTTTTTTGGTCATAGTGGTTTGGGACCAGTTTAGAGGAGGCAGATGACAACAGGGCCTGGCAGAAGTCAGTGCTGCTTCAAGGACTGTCAACTCCTGATAAAACTTCTGAACTAAATTTGCCAGCAGCGGCAGCGAGTGATTGCATCTGTTCCTCCCTTATCCTCAGAAAACAAAAAGTCAAAATTCCTCTGCATAATCCCAGAGGATAACCTTTCATGGAGGTGTTGGAAAAGATTTAATATGTCTGCAAGTTCACCTGGCTTCTCTCAAACCCTTGAGGATCAGTTATGGCTGCACTTGGTACAAACTTACTGAAAGATAGTTAAAAACAGAACTGTACCTTCTGATATACCACGGCTTTGCATTTCAGACCTTGTTTTCAAAGGAATCAGATCACTTAGTGCATCCAGAAGGGATGGGAGAACCTGACAGTAGCAGCTCCTTTAACTCCCTTGTCACCATCACATAAAAACTCACTCACTTAGATATTATTATAGTTCTCTCAGTCTAGTTATGTTATAAGTTAGTTTAAGAATTTAGACAACTCAGTTCCAATTAAAAATTGATAAATTTATTAAGCAAGCGATAATAAAGCAAACAGCGCTGGGTGGCCTGGGGGGCCAGTGCCCCACCAGAGACACACACAACTTGTTTGAAAACTGGGCTTTTGTACTCTTTCGATATCAGTTGTTGAATATTCATT